CTCTCTCTCTCTCTCTCTCTCTCTCTCTCTCTCTCTCTCTCTCTCTCTCTCTCTCTCTCTCGAAAAAAAAACTGGAGAACGCCGCGCCGCCGGAAATTTCCTTTTTCGTTCGCGCTTTATCGCTTTCCAGGTCCACTATCGCTGCTTTCCTTATCAGCCATCAACGGGTCCACTTTTACTGCCACTTACGCAACTCAGCACATTATCACAACAACAATATACCCGAACGCGGCGGGATGCGGTCACCGGGAACGACTGACCACGAATCACCGACCATCCGCGATGGCAAATGACATGTCCCTCCTCTCGCGGAATCACGGGATCACGGGATTTGGCGATCACACGGAATCGCGGGATCTTGCCGTTTGTAATATTGAATCCTGTGCGTGCAGCTTCGACGTAAGTAATCACGCCTTTCGATTACGAATCCATCCGTATCGGAATAAAGAATCGGCGATAAAGCGAGCGCCGGGTCCTTCTTCTCGCCGGGCCCACCCAATCGTGGTCCCAGCTCGGAAATTGGGCGACGGTGAACCCGGCGACGGCACGAGGAGAGAGAAGAGAAGAGCGTGGCCCCTGTCAGGTGTTAGAAGCCGTTTCTTGCGTACTTCTCGGATAGTCGACGAATCCTTTATGGGCCATGCATGAAGGTACTATAGCCCCCTATCCCGAACGCCGCGTACTACAACCCACGGCCAGCTAAATGTAACCCCTTACAATAATGGCGCCGCTTGTCTCTCCGTTCTGTTCCCCCCTCTCCTTCTACTGAGTCTCGAGCGCGCTGGGGTACCAGCTGGTAAACAGAGCCGTCCAATCGTCGCGCGGCCTCACCAGAGCTCGACCAATCCCAACCCTCCTAGGCGCGCCAAGATGAATGGATCTCTTTCTCCCTCGGTTCTCCTCTCGCTCCGATCTTCGCTTACGGCTATACCTCGTGCTCTCTTCCTTCACTTAGACTTCAAGCACCTCTCGCTTCCACGCTCATCGTATACTGTCGTATACCCGGCGTGCTCACTGCTCCGTCCTGCTCCGTCTGTCTGACGGTCCGTACCTTCGCCTCTTGCCAGTGCAGTTGTGCTCACTGCTTGCCACGTTGCTTTATACCTTGCAACGTTTCAACGTCTCACACGGTATTTTCTGTCCTCCTCTGTTTCTTCACTTCTCTCTCTCTCTCTCTCTCTCTCTCCCTCTCTCTCTTTCTCTCCTCTTTCGTTTGAGTGCAATCTTTTTATCTCATTTTTATTCTACCTCCTCGCCAAAATTATTTTTTTCTTTCTTTTCGATCTCGTCAAGGTAGCACTTTTTCGAATTTCTGCTTCGTACACATTACTTGTTTTCTATTCAATCCTATCTTATGTCGTAAGATAAATCTATCTTTTAACGCAGAGAATTTTATCATTAAATCTTGAATACTTCAACTCTAACGTATGTATATTATTTGCAACTATTTTTTTTATTACTTCTTTCATCGTTATAATAGCATTATTTTTAATTAAACAAAATAATTTTTTTATTTTGTTTTAATCAGATTCTTCTTTTTATTCTTTTTTTATTAACAATTCATGTATAGTGATAATTATAATTTTTTTAAGATATCACGTTTTATATCTATATTTATTAATCAGCTGTAAATTTCTTCATTAGCAGAACGTATCACATATTACAGACAAAATAATTCCGTCCATTTTCTCAAGTAATTACAAGCAGTTTTTATTTAAAGACTTGTTATTTTCTTTATTATCTAAATCAGCTTTTCTCAAGTTAAATATTTCTATTTTATATTTACCTGATTTGAGGTAATTTACATATATACATATAT